GTATTCTATTTATTCTAAATCATAATTGTTCAAAAATATCAATACAAAGTGGTTACTTCTATAGCAAATTTTTACAAGAAACTTGCCAATTTGGTTTTAAATTCACTAGTATATGAGGGTGTAACTTCAAACTTTTTAAGAGAAAATACATCTACATTTACATAATATCAATAAATTTAGTTAATTCAAAAAATTTATTGTCTAATTGAGTTAAACTCAAAGTTATAGAGAAGAACAATTTTGTTAATTTTTTAACATGGTAATTTCTTAATTTCATAATCAATTAATAAAATTAAACTATTTGACTGATATTATAGTTGTGTAGATATTCATTAATTTGTGAAAAAATCAGTTTGAGGAAGGATTATCTTAATGATTAATAACTGTTCCTTATATGCAAAATTATTAATGAAAGTAGCTCCTTTTTGGATGTAATTCAGATAGAACGTATTTAAGATTACTGTTAGGGATGGATATAATCATGATCTCTAAATCTTATTAGTCAATCCAAAACTTTAGATATTAGTCAGTTTAATTTTATTTTTTAAATTCTTCAAATGTATCTTTCTTCTTATCTTTGTTATTAATTGTATCATTACCTTTTTCTAAACTAAATTTTACTAAAGTATTAATAATCTTTATTATGACTAAACCTGTTTACTCTGTTTATAAATTTAATAGTGTATTGTTGTCTATAAATATGAATTTATAAACGTTTTTTCTAACATCTCAATATTATCCAAATATTTAAAGAGTAACAAAAACACATATTATTCAAAAAGTTTTAAGAAAATGATTAAAATTATAATTGTAATGTTTTTAATGAATATTCAAATTCACTTTTGCTTTAAGTCTTCTAAAAAGCAACTTCCTTTGGATTTAAACAAAGGCTTTAAATCTATCCCTTAATAATTCATGAATTATCCTTATAAGATAAGTGTTCCTGATGCTTAGAACAAAGGAATCTAACAGATTCTAAGTATTGTACAATAAGGATTAACTAAATAATAATTAATAATTAATACCATTTGGCAATAAGGAGCTATTCTGAAGTGGTATGTTAAACTAGGCAAGCAAAACTTTATAGCTACTATCTGATTTAAGTATTTCCTTTGATGTTTTTACATTCCAAAGACGAATAGAGATTCGTATTCCGGCCGTAGGGTAGAGGATTCGTATTCCGGCCGTAGGGTAGAGGACCCTACTATATTCGGGATGCTAGTACCGCACCGATTTTGGTGAGTCAAAAAACTATGCAGGTACCGCACCGAACCATCTAATTTGGCTTTTTATTATCCTGTCTTAACATCCCGTAATCTGATAGACGTATCTTTACTACCAGATGCTAATGTAGTACCATCAGGAGAGTAACAAATTGATTAAACTGCATTTGAATGACCATATAATTTGGCTTTTTATTACCCTGTCTTAACATCCCATACACAGATAAACTTATCACCACCACCAGATACTAATTTCGCACCATTAGAGGAGAAACATATTGAACTGACTTCTTAAAAATGACCATTTAATTTTGCTTGTTATTTTCTTGTTTTAAGATTCCATAAATACACTACTTTTCCACTACTGAAAGCTAAAGTACTTTCATTATGTGAGAAGCATACTGATTTTACTTATCCCTTTACCTTGATCCTAGACTTAATTTTTCCTGTTTTAACATCCCACAATCTAATCAAATTGTCATCACTACAAGAAGCTAATGATTTCCCATCTAGAGAAAAGCATACCTAATTGACACTTCCATTATGACCTTTTAATTTTTTTAATTCATGAATTTTGATATTTTTCCAATTACAATTAATCAATTAAGCTTAATTCAAGTTCATTCCACTAATATCGACATTGTCAAATTCTGATCCATTGAATATGCATCTTACAAAATTTCCACCAACTAAAGATGTATTTCTTATCCTGATATTCTCAAAACATTATTCCCTCAAATCCACTTTCATTTAAACTAGCAAATGAAGAGAATTTGATCCACACCAAATATAGGTCTCATCAAAAGCAGTCAGATGAACCAAAAATTTTAGGAATTCTATTATCTTCTTATTCAATGTTATTTATGTGGTTAGATCCATTTTAAATTCTTCATAATCATCCATTGAATAATTCTGTGTATTAAAGTCATGATCCATAACTTTTTTGAGGACATCTGTTATTATCTTAATGTTCTTCTCTCCATTAAGAGTCGATTCTTTCTCAAGAAGTGATTAGGTTTCTACCTTTTAACTTTCTATTTCTAAAAGGAATTTGTTTTGATCTTATGAGAGAAATTTTAGGCAGTCTTAAGTTTTCTCTTTTTTCAATGTGTTTATCAGGGTAGGGAGGAATACTTCATCAACCTCATTGGATAAGGACAAAACCTCATACAACACTTCTACTTACTCTTTTTTGTAGTGCATTACCTTTTTTAAAAAAATTATTGAGTTTCTATTACTTTATTTTGAGTTTTATACTATGAATCAAAAATGAATCTTACACATTATTGTTTGGAAGAAATCTCAATATAACAAAGATTTAGGGTAGATGTAAATTATACTAGAGAATACTTACATAGACTTATGCATAATTGGATTCTTAAAGAATATAGAATAAAAATAACACAAATAATCCAAAACACTAATAAATTATTTTAATTATTGAGAATTTATGAGTTAAAATATTGGTGAATGAAAAAACTATGCAGGTACCGTACCGATATTGGTGAATGAAAAAACTATGCAGGTATCGCACCGATATTGGTGAATGAAAAAACTATGCAGGTACTGCACCGATATTGAATAAAAAAACTATGCAGGGACCGTGCCGATATTTGTGAATGAAAAAACTATGCAAAAATGAAGTGCAAACTAACCTTTTATTTTTTTATTCTTCTGGCTGAGCTTAATGATTGGGATATACTTATCATCACTATTAGATACTAATTTATTACCATCATGAAAGAACTGTTGATCAATGACCATCTAATTAGGTTTTTTATTAACATCCCATAAACTGCTGATGAATGACTATCCTTTTAGGCATTTTCTTGCCCTTCCCCATAATAATAGAGGCTCTACTCAAAAGTAAAGTTTTTTTTAAAAAAATATTCTTTTACAACAAAATTTTAAAGTCAATTTGGATTAAATTTTGCTATTTAACAAAAACATTAAGATTAGATGTTATCAAATTTGAAATGTCTTTTGATAAAGTATTTTCAAATTTTCACAAAGTTGTTGTACAAATTAAAAAGAAAATGAATATTTTTTGCTAAATAATATTTAAGAGTTACCAACCTTATTTAGGAAAATTTGTAATGAGATGATATTTTTAAGGTATGACCTAAAAAATATTTTTTTCACTCTAATATAAAAAAACCAAAAAATTTCAAAAAAAATGATTTGATATTATAAGCCCTAAAAGTACCTTTAGATGATAAGTTATTGGGCTAAAACATACATATTCGTTACCAGCATGAAAATCTGGACAATTCTATGCCCCATTTTAACATTTGAATTTTTTAGCTGAAAATTTCTAAGATCCTCCCTGATGTGAAAAGATTTGGCAATTTGCACTTTCACACCTACAGACCTCTATCATAGCTCAATTTGGAGCTTGTACATTTCTAAGCATCTTTTAGAATTGCATGA